GAGAGAGAGAGATGGACTACTGTCAAATGAGTTTAGATCAAACGAATGTAACTTTGTGCCGCGTGCATTTAACAGGAAAAAAAAATATTTTTATTTTGTGCAGCTAATTTCTTGGCGTCTTTTCTTGGCGATTGATTTCTCGTCGGATTCGGCCGGTCTCAAAACTTCTTTGTACATAACCGTGTTTTTATATAGAATTATAATATACGTAGAATTTAAGAAATCTATATATATCTCTATCAGATTCCGGCACAAAATTACCCTCGCCAGGATGCAATTCAACCCCAATTCTGTGGTAGCGCGAAGACAGATAGATATATTTCGTTTATTATTTATTAATATTCCTCTATCGTCACTCGCATATCATTGTTACGATAACGATCGATTGTCATCGTACAACATATTAATATAGATGTATAAAATTTATGTATTATATAAATATACGTGTATACATACACATGTACGTATGTATATTACAAAAATCGTTAAACGATCTGTGCGAACCGTCGCGACTCGGTGCTAGTCGATCGTAAACATATATATTGTTACTGCTGTTGTGCACCAAAATTACATAATTTTATTGACATCCTCTATTAAAAAATCGTGCACGCGCCGCGTCGGTTCGCGCGGATTCCTCTTATTTTATATCTTTCTATTCTTAAAAGGCATAACCGACGATGGCAGTTTTATTTCATTGCTGACCTACTTGGCTACGCTACTAACGTAACGTCCATGAAAGCGTGAGTGGCTCCAAAGTATTTTAAGAAATTTCGTGAAATTTTTAGGAAATCGCGGCAAGCACGTATATACTACGATTACGGCATCCTTTTCATGGAACAACATTTATCTCTCTTATCTAAGAAAATATTCCCCCTTGTGAAAAAAATATTCGACGGATGGATATTATTTCGTCGTTCGCGAAACGAGGAAATAATATCGTGCGCGAGTATACGTATGTAGAAAACAGAAACCATACGAAACACCGTATTCCCACCATTTTCCCACCGGCCACGGCTTTCCGGCGAAGTTAATTACAGCGATCGCTCTTCATACCAGTTTGTGGGTACGCGCAGATGCTCGTAGCGCCGATTTACGCGTTACAGTTTTTTTTTTTCCTCGGGGGGACTTGGCGGTTAACCAGCCAGTTAGCTTACAACGTTCGCCCGTTACATGTTGTTTTCGAGCCCTTACACGCAACATTCGTGCCGCGGCGGCAATATCCTAGTCTCGACGCGGCCCGCGCCGTAATGAGTCGGTGGCGAAACTACGTGATCAGTCCTCGTGACGTGTTGCTGATATTGCCGCAGCGGCAGCTGCCGCTCTCGCGCCCGCCAAAGAGGGTATTGTTGTCGGCTCGGGCGTCGATCTGAAAACACATTCCTCTCGTTATCGACGTTGGCGTTACCGAAACACGTGAAAAAACGACGATG